CTACTTCACGGGAGTCGTCGTGATATTTTTAATTTAACATTTATCTATTTTCCTTTAATGCGCGATTTTGAATTGATCTTTGAATTGATTTTTATGTTATACTATTATATAAAGTTTATTATTATACACATTTAATGAGAAAGTTATGAATGATCGACAAAAATTTCTACTATATAGTAATACTTATTAGGTTTTTATTTACTTCTTACTAATATATTTAAGCAACAAAAGTATTGGAAACGATAGTACAAAAAAACCCCAGCCCTCCCTGATAATCAATCATTGTTTACACAGTCGATAATATTAATATGTTTTATATAAATACACATTTAATTTTGAAAAATAAAAAAATCACCAACAAATAAAAAAATAAAAAATGGATCAAAATTATAATATTAATTCTAATAATGATAATAACAATAATAATAACAATACTCACAATTGTTGGAATGGACAAACAAGCATTACTAATCCATACTTGTTTTCCAACCAAAACTTTGTCTCCAATAATTCCACTAATCAAACCTCCGGAGGCAATAATCTCGTTTATCAAAACGTTGACTATACTAACACTAATTACACTCCTCAAAATTCGGCTCATAATAATTTTATTCAACAAATCCCTTTTGACAATAATTACATTAATCAAAACTTAACCATTCCTCAAAACAATTTCGTTGACCAAAATAATGATACGATGGCCAATAACAGTAATGTTCTCATTAACCAAGACCTAACTAATGCTGTGAGGGTTAATCATCATCCGAATAATACTTTTGACAATAATTTTATTGGGCAAAGTTCTCATCAAAATCCCATCGGTGCCAATAATTTCGTTAACAATGACAATGATCAATTACCACTACTTATTAACATAGTAGCTCAACTTCAAACCCTCCAGAATGACGTAAGTCAAATTTTAGCAATAATAAACAATAATAAATAAGAATATTAATATTATTAATACAATAGTTCATTATTCGTAAGTCGATCATCAATAGTTATAATAATTATGACATTGATTATTTTTATTATTTTATCTAGTAATATTTATTTATTATTTAAATTATGTATAATTTATTTTTCATATTTTGTATAAATAAATAAAATTTTGAAAAAATTTCAATAAATTAGCACAACTTATTATATAAGAATGAATAATACATTAAGACTAAAGGTAATTCAACTTAACAATGAAAATTTTCTTCAAGTTATGAGTTGATCATTCAAACAAAAATTTTTGACATCAGTAATGAATGTTGACAGTCTTGGGAACGATTCCACAGATTGCTTCAATTGAAATTTAACGAATTTTTTATATAAATTGATTATCGATTTCATTTCTTTTTTAGTCGTTTTGTCTTTAAAATATCATTATTATTAACAAAGTATTTTTTCAAAAAGATCAAATTCAATCATATAGTAATATGTTTTTTATTTCTGATGTTTTTTGAATATTCTTATACCATCTTTTATTCTTGAATGTTTTTTTTTACAACAATTGATGACAATAAAAAAATCTGCTAAAATATATACTTTAAAAATATAAATTTACTTTTTCAAAAGACTTTCCTCTCTTGAAAAACTGGTTAATTCAACAAACATGTCCTCAAGCTTTTTCAGTGCCACTCAATTCTTGTCAACATTTTTTCCTTGTTTTTTATTGTTTGATGATGATAGTATGATGATGACGAGATGATGGTTCTATAACTGGATATGTAAATTCCAACTCCGGGGCTTCCAAATGCAAAAAAAATATTCCCGCCTGGTACCAATTTGCCAATCATTGAAATTTTAGGTTATTCTTGATGTATTGGAATCTAATAAGTGAGCCATTTATATAAATAAATACATTCATGTGTCTAATAGTTTACATGCCAGTTTAATCGTAAAATAAATTTTTTTACCTTGATATGATGCCAAAATACTTGTTCAAAGATTTTTTGTTTTAGTGACTCTGTTGTAGGTTTTTTTCATTAAGCCAACTTTAATCCCAATTTATTATCTTTTTTGTGGATGTTGTTAATGTATATGCTAGTGCATATTAATAGAAGGAGGGTTTGTAGCAGTTGCTCATGGCCACTATTACTACCATCATTGTTATCATTAACATGAACACCATCACTATTACAAACATTGTTAGTGTAGTTGCTGCTGCTATTATTGTTATCATCATTATTGTCATCATCATTGTTGTAATCATGATTATTATCATTGTCATTGTCATTATTGTTATCATCATCATTATCATCATTATTATTTATTAACAAAAGAAATCTTAACCAATTGAGGTTTATGGCTAAATTTATTAATACGTTGGTCACCAAAAAAATTCGGAAAAAATACTTGAAAATAGTTTCGCGTCATGTGACTTTAATTAATATTCGTATCACATGACATAGATGACCCCTTAACATTACAGTGTAATGCTTTTTTAGTGCTCTGGGAGCCTCAATTATAATTTTCCGGGCATTCTTAATTATTAATTAATAGTAGTGTTTAAAATCTTCAAATAAATCGTAACTTGTGTAATCATAAGCCGTTGTCGTATAGTGGCAGTACATCGCGTTGTGGCCGCGCTAGCCCTGGTTCGATTCCAGGCAACGGCACGTTCGTGAACTTTTTTTTTTGATTCTATCCAATTAAAGTTGATCAAGTGTTCATTCATTAAATTAAAAAAAATTTTATCAGCTATTTATAAAAAATTAAAAAAAAAAAAAATAATGTCTAAAAGATCTTTTTTTCGTTTAATAAGTTCATTTTTATTGTTGATTTTATTACCAATCTCATCACTACTGGTAGTTAATGCGATAAAATTTGACATTCAAGCACATCCAGAAGGTTTAGTTAAAAGAAAGTGTATTACACAATATGTTCCGACTGATACTTTGGTAGTGGTAACAATAAAAGTTGGGATTGGTTATAATCAACAGATAGATGTTGAAGTGACAGATAATAGTCCTGCACATAACGAGTATGGAAGGAAACGTGATATGAACGAGGAGACTCGCATAGCGTTCACTACTCACGTCGAAGCAGATGTTTCTATTTGTTTCACTAATACCTTAGAAGATGGTAACAATTATAAATATGATTTATTGATCGATTGATTATTATTCTATGCATTTGATATTAATTATTATTTATTATTTATTATTTATCATCATTATTATTATTGTTATTGTTATTATTATTGTTATAGGATTTTCACCTGATGCAAAATATCATAGAACAATTGATCTTGATATAGATGTAGGAGCTGAAGCAATTGATTATAATCAATTAGCTAAGGCTGAAAAATTAAAACCAATGGAAGCAGAATTAAGAAAATTGGAGCAGATTGTTCAAGAAATTGTTGATGAAATGGAATATTTAAGGAGAAGAGAGGCTAGAATGAGAGACACTAATGGTAATTTATTTAAAGAAGAGAAAATAATAATCATTGTTATGATTATTATTTATTACTGATTTTTATTAATTTTACTTAATATTCTCTGTTTATAATTTTTATAGAATCTACAAATGAACGAGTAAAATGGTTTAGTCTTGGTACAATATTTGTACTTGTTTCTTTGGGTGGATGGCAAATATTTTATCTTAAAAAATTCTTCCAAAGAAAAAGATTAATTGATTAATCAACAAAATTATCATTATTTATAAATATTTTAATTTTTTTTGTTTTTATTTTCATAAAAAATAATATATAATTAAATTATAGAAAAATTATTTTATTATTTTATCATTTAATTGTTCTAAAAATTATTCTAAAAGGATAATAAAATTGTTGACAAGAGGAACCACAACTAAATCAATCCAATCAATCCAATCAGTCTTGTCTTCTTCTTCTTGACTAATAATTATATTGGTATCCCAGTTTCTTCCTCACGTCACATATATAAAAAAAACTAATTAATTTGTGAACAAGGGAGGTTACTAAATAATCATCATTTGGAAAAACTGGAAAAGAAGAATCATAGTTACATACATCTCTAGACAATCCTCACGTGCATTATCAATAAATTTTTTAAAAAAATGACTTTTAAAAATATATTAATTACGACTTACTTTATCATTTTCCTTCTTGATTACTCGATAGAACACTACTTTAAAGACCTTATTGAAAGTAAACATACGCAACTCCCAGCAATATTCGCCATAATAATAAATTATTATTTAGAATGGAAACTTATGATTCTTTACAAGTATTTTAATAACCATTCCATGTTTTTATTATTTATTACATTTGTTACAATGTCTTGGTTTTTCATTGGAAAATCTTTAATTGGAATTAAATTTCGACAATGGGAAGAGTTTGAAGTTGAATTGCCTTCAGGTAGGAGTTAATGAACGAATGTATGCACGTACGTACGTATGTTTGATAATAACTAGAAAGATATATATAGAGGCTAAACCAGGTTGGAAAGGGAAAATTCTTGAAAATCCAAAAATAATGGTTTGTCAATTTAATCTTTAAATAAAATGAATGTAAATATATCAATTTCAAAAATAAAATTATTATGTATGTATATAGGATATGAATAGTCCAGGATATATTATATGTTATGATCCATCTACAGGTCAATATCTAGGTAAAACACGAGCACATACTGATCAAGATGTTCAGGAGGCACTGAGAAAGGCTCAAAAAGCTCAAAATAAATGGTCAAAAACATCATTTGCTGAAAGAAATAAATTTTTAAATAGTTTGTTAAATTTTATTATTAAAAATCAACAAGAAATTTGTTGGGTTTCTAGCAGAGATACTGGAAAAACATGTAAATAATATTTATTTATTTATTTATTTTGAAAGAGAATGTGCGTGTGTATCTAGTGTATTTAGAGATTTAACATTTTTGCCCAATAATAATTATTATTATTGTTATTTTATTTAGTGGTTGATGCAGAATTTGGTGAAATTCTTACAACTTGTGAAAGAATAAGATGGACTATTGAAAATGGCGAAAAAGAATTAGCGCCTCAATATCACGATCCAAGTCCTATATTACCTTATAAAATTGCTAAAATTGTTTATCAACCATTTGGTGTTGTGGCTGCTTTAGTATCTTGGAATTATCCGCAAGTATATTCATTAAAATAATGCATTATTTATATATTTATTTATATTTATTTTTTAGTTTTTTGTTCTTTATTTTTTAAAGATGTCATAATACATTTGGGCCTATAATATCAGCATTATATTCAGGGAATGGAATTTTGGTTAAAGCATCAGAACAAGTTGCATGGTCAATGAAATATTATGAAAATATTATAAAGACATGTTTAATTGCATGTGGCCATGATCCTGATATTGTACAATTTTTGTGTGGTTTTGCTGAATGCGGTGAAGCTATTGTCAAAAGTGGCGTTGATGGAGTGACTTTTATTGGGTAATTAATTAATTTAAAAATTCTTATTTTCACACTTGAAAAAAGAATAGACATTTGTTAATTCATTTATATAGATCATCAGAAGTTGGAAAAAAAGTCATGAAAACAGCATCATATAATTTAACACCATGTATATTAGAATTAGGTGGTAAAGATTGTGCAATAATTAGACACGATACAAATCTAAATGCTGCAATCCCAATAATTATGCGTGGTACTTTCCAAAACTCTGGTCAAAATTGTGTTGGTATAGAAAGAGTTTTAATTCATGAATCTTTACATGATGAATTTATTAAAAAAGTCACTAAACAAATCGAATTGATGAGAATTGGTAGTGCATTAAATGACAATGACCAGTTTACTGTTGATGTTGGTGCGCTAACAATGAGTGGTCAGGTGAAATAATCGTTTACAGAATAGAATTATAAATATAACAAATATTTTTTATAATTTTAATTTTTTTTATTGCACAAACATATTATACTTATTTATTTATAGGCAGAAAGATTAAAATCAATTGTACGCACTTCGATAAATGAAGGTGCAAAATTAATGGCAGGTGGGGACATTTACACGCATCCAAAATATCCAACTTCACAATACTTCCAGCCAACACTTATAACAGATGTGACCAAAGAGATGTCAATTGTTCAACATGAATTGTTTGGACCAATAATGGTAGTAATGAAATTTTCAACAGATGAAGAGGCAATTGAAATATGCAATAGTTCACCATATGGATTGGGTAATTCCATATTTACCCAAAACACTCCTATAGCTGAAGAAATGTCATATAGGTTAAGGTGCGGTATGGTGAACATTAATGATTTTGGTTCTAGTTATTTATCAAATTTACCATTTGGTGGTGTTGGAATATCTGGTTTTGGAAAGTTGGTATCATCGATAATCATTAATTCTTATATAATAATTACCAAATAATAATAATTATTGTTATTTTATTATTTAGATTTGGTGGAGCAGAAGGAATAAGATCATTATGCTTAAAGAAATCTATCACGTTAGATAAATATCCTAAATTTATTACAACCACAATACCAAGAATTGTCAATTATCCGTTATCAACTAACTCATCAATATTTGTGTCCAGCTTAGTTAAAACCATTTATGAAATTAAAATATCAAACAAGATTAAAGGTTTGGTTGCTTTGCTTCGAAACTTTCTTGGTTATTGATATATATATTGAAAATAAATAAAATATTATTTTACGGTCTTAATTGTTTATAAATAATAGTAAAAAATATTTTATTATTCTAATATGTGAAAATTAAAAAGAACTGTCCTCATTAATATTTAATAATATTAAGGATGCTAACCAAAATGGTTTTTGAAAAAATCAATTTTCAGCAGGCAATTTGGATTTACAATATTCTTTATATCAATGGATATAAAAAACTTACCCAGAATTTCAGCTATTGAGTTAAAAGGTTCAAATAATTTCGTATATAATTTCGGCAACTAATAAGGTTAATTTCGCCAACTATGAAAACTATTTCGGCATTTCGGGTTCGGCGACAATCATTTATTAAGAGAGGCAATTCCGGCTAACATGCTTAATTTTTTTTTTTCATACACCATTATTCAAGTTGGTTAATTTTAAGTGCATAAATCATTATCATGAAATTTTCATGACGACATGTGATGGCTATTGTTGCAAAATGTCATTAATCCATCGATCAAACCCTCTTCATCCAAAATATTTGTCTATTATGATGATTATTACTATTACTATGGCAATAATAATTAATGAAGTATCTTTGGCGAAGATCGTCTTAATCACAAGTCTTTCTCCTTAAACTTTCCTTTGATACAGTTGAAATGCAGTCGTACATTTCTTTTATATGAATGATTAATAACGTCAAGTCTAAGTTTCGGATTTGACAGAAGATCTTTTGCCATGCACCTACCCATGCAACTTCATTTAATGGTAATCATACATAATACAAAACTTTTAAAAATAAAAAGAATCTCAACGTGATCTTCGTGAGATACGAGCAACAAAAATTTGATATCCTTTTTCTCTCCTTGAGAAATGCTATCAAATTTGATCATGTGTGTGTTACAGTGTTACACATTATCATGTGAAGTATATGAATAAATTTTTTTTTAAAAAAAGGAAGTCGCCAAGTCTTCCTCCAAATATGAAGAACAACAATTTATTTTCATTTTCGACATGTATAACGTCAGTGTTTATGACACTTTTAATAATACAAATACTATCAAAAGCAGTAGTGGTAGTGGAGGCGTCAGACGGAGATCAATTACCAGAATTTGAAGCGTGTGTTTCAGTCTGTTCACAAACTCATTGCTCTTCCACCAGCGGTGGTGACAAAACAAAGGCTTTACCGTTATCACTTAGACTATTATCTTGGAATTGCGAGGATAATTGCAAATATGAATGTATGCATCAAATAACAGACATTGCATTAGAAACAAACAATATAATTTATCAATTTTATGGAAAATGGCCTTTCTACAGGCTGCTTGGTATCCAGGAACCAGCAAGTGTCCTTTTTAGTATATTGAATGGATTTGTTCATTTTCATTATTTACCACTTTTTATAAATAAAATCACTAATAAATATTACATGAAGAAATATTACATAGCATACTCACTAATAAATATGAACAGTTGGTTATGGTCAACAGTTTATCACAGCAGAGATTTAACTTTGACCGAACAACTAGATTATTACTTTGCCACTCTAGGAATCTTCTACTCAACATACTATTCGATTTTAAGAGTATTCCAAATCCGTAATACCAATTATACCATTATCATCACTTCAATATTCCTAATTGGTTACCTGTATCACGTATTCTATTTGCACTTTATAGATTTTGATTACGAGTATAACACGATAGTTAATGTTATTGTTGGAATGGCGAATAACTTATTATGGATTTCGTGGTCGTTGAACCATTGGCACAAGAGACCTGATGATGCTTGGAAACCATTACTTGGTGTTATTATGATATCGGCGGCCATGTCTTTGGAAATATTTGATTTTCCGCCTTTTTTTGGAGTGTTTGATGCACATTCATTATGGCATGCAAGTACGATTCCAGTAGCGATCTTCTGGTACGAGTTCTTATTGGAAGATGCAAGGATTGAAAGTTTCAGAGAAAGTAAAGGAAAAAAGAAGATTAGTAAATAAATCAAGTAATAATGATGACAACAGTAACAATTGACTATGATATACAGTGATGGAGGATAAGAAATGGTTGGAGATGGTGATGATTGTTGAAGAACGAAAAAAGAGAAAGAGAAATAGAGAAGATGGAAGTGAGATGAAAATGAAGTTGATGATGATGATGTTAATGTTGATGATGATGATAAATATATTATTGTAAATAATAATAAAATAATAAAATAATAAAATAATATTTTTTCTAATTGAAATTTAATTTTAATCAAAATCTTACAATCGAAAGTAATTAAATTAAAAATTACAAATATTTAAATAATTATTTAATTTGCAAAAAAAAAATTTTTCCCAATTAATCCTTCTTGATTACAACATTTTAATATCTTGATTATTATTTTTTACTCTTTGACTACTTTCTTCAATGTTAATGACATTATTAGAACTGAAGAAATCAAGAGAGTAAGATTTATCATTAGAGAATAAATACATCCAAATCCAATAGTTGACTCATTTAATAATGTCTGTTGTATGGTAAAAATAATAATATTGATATTAATTATTATTGGTAATAAAAATTTTAAAATAAAAATTTAACACTAATTACCGTATAAGATGCTCCAAAATGACTTAATATGGTAAATAAAATATAAAGAAATTTTCTCTTGGGATTACTAAATCCTTCAAACGCCGTCATCATCCAAGTTATATGTAACAATATAAAAAGGCATGTTGTGATTGCTATATATTGTGTGTGCGTGTGATAATTTTGAAAGAAAGAAATTAATTAATATTTACACTCAAAATGATATCCATCCTCAGAGAAAAAAAGGGAAATAGAAAGAGAAATATTGAGAAATAATAATTTTTTTACCTCCAACAAAATATAATGATAGGAATGGGCAGGATTTACACATCAATATTCCAGGTCCAATTGAATATACTAAAAGTGTAATATAAGTTATTGATCCGTTTATTAATCCATATCCTAATCCACATACTATATTATCATAATGTATTAGTAACTAACTGAATAACTTATTGGTAACTTTTTTAATTTTTTAAAAAATTTTTTTTACCAAAAGCAAACGAATGCTCATTGTATGGAGAATTTGGATTCTTGGAAACTAAATTTAATCCATACTTGGCACGTCTATAATTAATATGAAAAAAATTATAATTAAAAATTAAGTTTAACAACTGCCAGATTTCTCATTGAAATCTCATACACACACACACATATATATAATTTCACTAATATTATTATATTAAAATTACTTTAGAATTATAAAGAAAAACCATCGAAACAATTCTTGCAACAAGACACTATAGAATATTGTGAAAAATTTGTTGTCTTTTAGAGGTTTAATTATAACCCAAATTATTGAAGCCAAAAATATTGAAATCAGCCAGAAAAATGCACTAAATAAATGAATTGATTGATCGATTGATTGATTGATAGATTTTGTAAATTGAATGTTAAGAGAGCAAAAAATAAAATATCTTTGATAAATCAATGAATGAATTAATTACCTAGACACCATCAATAATACAAGTTGGGCATCTCTAGCTACATGTAAGAAAAATATACTAAGAGCTGGCCCATACGCTTTATAAAAGTACACTTGTATATTAATTAAAATCCATTGCTATATTGTTATGATTAACAGACAATCCTTTTTACTAACCAGTTAGTGCACATCCAAAAAATGTTAATAATGTCATATTTTTATTTTTTTTTTACTATCCGCAAAAATACTAAAAAGAGCAAATTCGATTATATAAACATTATTATTTGTTTGATTAAAAGCAACAACGTAAACTTTAAACAATAAAGAGACTAACATAAAATTGTGAAACGTGTCTGTGAATTTGTAACCAAATCAGTAAATTTTCCCAAAAAGTATATTTTTTTGTTGCACGGGAATGCTTATATAGTCGAACCTCATCATTATTATAATAATAACTAGTAAGAAACCGGATTATTTTATATTTTAATATATTTTTGTGACACATTACTTTGAATTCATCTTTACGAATTGCAGATATTGATGATTGATTTTTGAACGGATGCAGAGTATCTTAGAAGGAAAGATCTGTTGGGTTATTCAAACAAGAACTGGAGATCGGCAGGGTTTGTTTATGTTCGCAAAAAACGTGAGTTATTGCATGGCTGGAAGCAATCAATATCTTCAGGTTGTTATTCGAGGTGAACTATACTTAATTTATATCCAACCTACAGATAATAAATTAAAAGTCATATTACTTGCATATCTTCTTTACCTAATAAAGCTTAGGAACCCCAACATCTGCTGTCATTAATGTCTATGAATATAGTATTTTATCTTGAAATAATTCTTGGCGTTGTTTGTGATAGAAATCAAACAAAAGACCTTTCCAGATCCAGTCAAGAATGAGCTTGCTAAAAACTGTAGGGTAGTACACATTTAATCATCTTTGTGTGATTGGTGGGTGGTTTGACAAGCGTCAAAAATTCTGCAGTCTTGGAATCGTGTGGATGCTGCCCGTAAATTTTTTTTTTTTTACTTACAATGGATCCATTTTATAAAGGAAGCTTGCTGTCATTTTAATTGTGACAGGATATGACTAGCGATTATGAACCGCAATTAGCCAGACTTGGTGTAACAAGGAAATAAATAGTAACACTTGTTGTTACTTTCCAAATTTCCAAATGTAGAGAGATATATAACGATCGAAGGTCTCGATAGTTTTGTACATCGCTATTTGTTTGTAGCACTAAATCTTTAAAAGGTTGTTTTTTTTTTTTAATGCTTTCTAACATTGATTGTATTGTTGTATTGTCGATTTATTTCCATACATCTTTTACATCTACATACATACACCTTTTACATTTATATTAAAAAAATATTGAAAAGATAGAGCAGAGTATGTCGTATCACTTATTATCAAAACTTTCTCGTGATTTGTGTCAACTTCTCGATACTTGTGCATATTATGATGTGTTAATTCGTGTGGGTAAAGGTTCCAGCATCAGAGAATTTCCCGCCCACTCGCTTATATTAAGAGCCAGATCTGGCTATTTTAGAGGAGGCCTAGCTAACAATAAAGTTAAAATGGAATATGATAAAATCATTTTCAACAAGCCAAGCATCACGCCAATTGCTTTTGAAATCATTTTAAAGTAACGACCAATTAATCACTTGTATAAGTTTATAAATTTAAATATATATATATAAAGATTCATTACTAAAATTTTATTATTATTATTGATATTAAAAAATGGATGCATAGATATATTTATAGTGGTAAAGTAGATTTTATGAATATTAATGGAAAGCAAGTACTTGACTTGTTGTTTGCAGCAGAAGAACTTGGATTAATGGAAATATTGGAGTTAATTCAAGATTATTTGATTAACAATCAAACAGTTTGGATGGATAAAAATTTTGTAACATATCATCGAGCAATTTATCGAAATGATTCGTTTAAAACACTACAAGTCTATTACACTGAAAAACTTGCCACTAATCCAGCAGCCATATTCCAAACATTGGATTTATTTAATCCAGATGTTTTGAATGCTCTGGATAACTCAGGATGCATTAGGTTGAATGAGGTATTCTGGGGTTACATTGTTAACTGGTCACGATTTCAGATCCCTAAACTTAATAACGAGGTTACCGGATGGGCAAAGGATGATTGGATTTCGTTCAAGCAGTCACTTAGTCAGTGCATACCATGGAAAAGCATAGATAATATGGAATGGGATGCATTTCATGATTTGATCATTCCATGTGAACCATTTCTCCCCCCAGAAAGATTTGACATAGCATTAAATGCTCAATTGAAAAAATCCTGTGATGCCACCGCAGTCATAAGATCACCTATTTCATTACAATTCAACGCGACCATCATCAATATTTGTCATGCAACCCTGCTCTCCAGTTGGATTGATCAACTCAACAATAAGATTTATCGACCCGCCGAGATACCATACGAGTTCAAATTGGTATTAAATGGTAAACGAGATGGATTCACTCCTGAGGTGTTTCATCGTAAATGTAATAAGATGTCCAGAACTCTGGTGATATTTAAAACTGCCAATTCAAAGAGTGCGCTGTATGGTGGATATAATCCGTTGGATTGGGAATTTGATAGGACGACTAAAGATAGCTTTACATTTCATTTTGATTATAGAAAAGCCGAAATTAATCGATTGGATGGATGTGCGATTTTAAATAAACAAGGGTATGGCCCGTGTTTTGGTAATGTGGATTTATTCGCATTTCCAGATGGAAACCGTAGAATTTTATGGAGAACCAATGATAACGATGAAGGGTTTCTAGTTGAAGATTATGAAGTATTTCAAGTTGTTGAGAAACTTAAACGGACAAATTATGGATCCTCTCTAAGTCATAACCCTCGTAATCATCATGTTCATTCTCACAAAAAAAGATGACGAGAGAGTGAATTTTGTGGGTTTTTTTTTTTTTGGAAAAAAATTTTTCAATTAATATATACATACATATATAGATTATTATAATATTTATTATTTATTATTTATTATTTATTATTTATTTTTGTTATAGAATTTGGTTGTACAAATATTATTTAAAAGTACTATATATAATTAAAAACATTTCCTTTTACACATAATTGGAAACAACTCCGAATGTTCATCATTTATTACTATTATATTATAGATCACTCATTAAAAAAATTTTTATTTGCGAGAGTAACAATGAGTTTTATTAAATAAAAAGTGCGTTGTTTACGTTGATAAATCATATATGTGGAAAATTAATAAAATAAATTTATGACTTTAAATTTTGAGTTAATATACCAACCACAACTGAATTCATTGTAATAATAAAAAAGATGAACAATTCAGACGGGGATGTGGACATGCCTCTTGGCGAGCTAAGAATGACTGGATCATGTAAGTGTTATTGGGATTTCCTAACAATTAATTAAAAGATTTGATTAACATATTGCAAATATATTATTTATCCAGACTATCAAAAAGAGCCACAGTTAGCGAGGAAGATAATATACGCATTGGTAGCAGCAATGTTACAAATATTCTTTATGATGACGACTTTTATATTTTACAATAGAAGAAAGCTCATAATCGACCTTGAGGCAAGATCATTGCGATTGTCGTTAACATTTGCAATATCGAATATAATATTTACGCCAGTTCTAGTATTATATAATGGGTTTTGGTCAAGTTTTCCGTGTTATGTCGTGCTATGGAATCTTCATTTGTCATTTTTGATTTATTCATTGGTAATGGGCGCCAGAGGTGTCCGATTGATATTCTTGGCTAATTTAAGCTATGCAATATTAGATATTTCATTGAAAAGAAATAGAAATTCCACGCTACTTTTAAAAAATATCAACGATAATGATGATAATAAGGACAATAATAACAATGATAATGATAATGATAATGATGACAACGATAATGACAGTGATAGCAACGCGGTGAATTTTAACGATTATTTGAAATGGTATCGAAGAAAGAAAAAATTTACAACAGATAAAGTGTTGTGTTATGCGATATTTGGTATTGTATTAATCATGGTCATGGTACTAATCGGAATTGTAGTATTCGCTAAAGATGATGGGCAATTCTCGATAAAGAAGTTTAGGCAAGAGCAAAAACAATGTTCGGATGGATTAGAATATTTGCCACTTTATACCTTAATTACAGCATTTATATTCATAGAATGTCCGGTATTGTTCTATTACCTCAAGCCGTTAAATGAAAATTACGGAATAAAAAAAGAAATTTTCATTAATTTGATTACAGCTATTTCTTGTCTAATTTTATATTCCGTGACTATTTTCTTGGATCAAGTTGTGAGATTCTGGGGGCCGTTGACATGGCTGAGTGTGGCTTTGTTATGTGGACATGTAAATATAATATTTTTACCAGTGGTAAAATCATACAAGAAATCGAATTTTTTAATTAATTATAGAAATGGTAATAATAATAATAATAATAATAATAATAATAATAATAATAATAGAGACGTGTATGTGAGGAGTATTTGTGAGGAGGATTTAGTTATTGTCGATAATAATTATAGAATTTCATGTGATGTTAAATGTGAAAATTACAATAATAATGATTTCAATGATAGCAATAATGTGAGTAATGGTGATGATGGTGGTGAAGGCCGGCCAAGGTTTAGTCAAATTTTAAAAGACGAACGTCTTTTCGAAAAATTTAAAATTTGTGCAGCATCATTTTTTTGTATAGAGTTGATTTTGTTCATTGAAGAATATCAATATTTGAAAAGTAAGGTTTTGAAATATTATGAACACACCAATGATAATTTAGATTTTGTCGCAGATTCTAGACCAATCAAAGACGTAACTGACAATATTCAATCGTCAACACAGCCACCGCAGCCACCGCAGCCATCATATCAACATTTTACACCGTGGGAGACTGTCATTAGGGAGAGTTCACCTTCGCCATCATTAATATCATCATCATCATCATCATCAACATATTTTTTAAATTCCGCTACATCTTTTTCACCTTTCATAGAAACAATAACAATGGATAATGATTTGAAAATACTAAAAACGATAACAGCTGCGCCATCGCCATTGTCGACAACGCCACTATCTAAATTCAATAATGAAAATCTCCGATTATCTTCATTGTCACCTATAACAATTTCGATCCCTGAAACCTTGGGCCTTTATTTTAACTCAAAATCAAGATTTAAATCAGATTCAAACTCAAATTCGAATTTAAACTCAAATTCGAATTTAAACTCAAATTCGAATTTAGACTCAAATTCAAACCCAACCTTATCACCACTACCTCCAAAATTATTACCAAAAGAACTTAAACCATATTATCAAAGATTTTATCAAACGTTCCTGGACCCGTCTGCAGGTTTGGCCATAAATGTGGATGATTCGACATTACGTAATATAAAACGTCAAATTGTAGGCCAAGGAGATTATAATATCGATATGTTTGAACATGCTAGGATGGAAGTCTTACATTTGTTGTATGGTAACACATTCAACACATTTATCGAACAATATTATCGGACCGATAATTAAGCATGTGGAAACATTTGTATCATTGGATCTCAAATCTCAATTTAAAGTGGGGTGATACATTTTGTGAATTTATTATTTTTTGTTATTATAAATCTAGATGCAAATGATATAAACAAAAATAATTCGTTGTGTATTTCCTAACTGGAATTTGACGATCGTTTCTAATTGATTATTTGAGTGAAATTGTCACAAAAAAAATGAAAGAAATAAATTTAATTAAAAATTGGTCGGTCATTTAAAATTATTTATAAATAAAAAAATTTTATTATTTTTTTACAAAAAAAAAAAATTTTCCCCCTGACGTTCCTTTTTTTTAAAAATTTTTTTATCATAAATAATTAAATAATTAAAAAATAAAATGGCAAAAGTACTACGCTGGTTCGGAAAGGTAAATAAATAATTTATAACCATAAAAACCATTGTATGTATATATATAAATAATGATATTTTAATTTTTATTTTTGATGCTTAGAATGGTAAACGATACGACTATAACAACAACGACGATAATAACCGCACATCAACACCATCACAATATTTAAAAACTAGACATAAAGTGGAATGGATTAAACAGCATGAAACATCGTCTCGTGGCAATTCATGGACGAACAGTAGAGATTTTGGATCGATAATGCAATACCGACAAGAATTTGATCAGTTTGCATGGAAAAAACATCATAGTTTACCAATTCCGCGTGATAAACATAGTTATAATAATAATTATAGTTATCATGAAAGTAATAATAACCATGATAATATTTATAATGTTTATGATGAGGATGATTACCAAAACAATTCATCACCTTTATTGGAAGCTTCAAAAAAAGTCTTGGCTGATCCTAGAAGATTCGCTATCATTGATCCAAATGATGATGATGATGAGGATGACGATCATTTTAATCCTAATTCTAATCCCAATAATATTAATATTAACAAACGGAAAAATTCTATGATCGAAGAAAAATTTAATGAACGATTAAAACAATATCAAGAAGAATTAAAACGAAAGCAATTCCTACAACAAGAGCAACAAGAAAGACAACAACAATTATCACAATCAAAATTACGTCAAAAAACTTATTCCATGAATTCAAATTCGTCAAATAATCAAGAACAATTTATTTTTAATTATAACATTAATAACATAACAATAAATAATAGTAAGCAAACTATATATGATGAGAATAGTAACTGTAATGATGATGATAATAATAATCATTTTCGCCAATTACAAGCATTACAAGAACAAAAAAACAATTATTACAACGATAACATTAATCAACAATACATATATTCGTCATCACCACCAGACATTATTGAAGAAAGCGAAAAAATTATGTCATCGGATATTAATAATAAAGTTGAGACCCCTGCTAAAATAATTGTTGCTACTAAAGAAAATTTATCTAGAAATAGTAGATCTAGCATTCAATCAATCCAATTACATTCGATTAAGCGTGACACGAAAAGATTTAGCGGTAATATTAACATCATTAACAATAATCATAATGTTATTAATGATGAGATTAATCAAGATAAAATCGAAATTCAAACAATTAAAGAAGATGATGGTGTTGATGATAATAATCATTCATCGTCATCGTCCAATCATGAAAATCACAATCACGTTCGAAATAGAAATTCGTCAAATAGAAGTTCGAATATCCCATCATCAAATACATCAAATAAAAGTCTGAATGGTATACCATCAAATACATCAAATAATAGAAATTCGTCAAATAGAAACTCATTAAATAAACATTCATTAAATAGAGATTCGATAAGATCATCGATATCCACAACAAGTTCAACGTCACATCCATCATCTAGCAGCGCTAAAACTACCGGCAACGAAAGAAAAAATATAATATTAAAACGTAATTTTGCAAGATGTAATACTTGTAGAAAATCAATGATGGAAGGTGGGTACACAACACAATGGTGTAGAGTGTGCGAGTCTAAAAGATTTGAACAAAATTTTGGCACGTGGACGAGTGGTAATGATAATATTGATTGTTTCATTTTGGAGACACAGTTGAATGCTCAGAGCAGGTTTGATTATTTGGAATGGATTCCGTTTGACAAATTTAAAAATATTCAGTATGTTGGAAATGGCGGATTTGGTAGTGTTTACAAGGCTATTTGGTTGGACGGGCCAAGAGAAAAGTGGGATAAAAAAACTTATCAATATGTTTGTTGTGGTGAATGGGTGGTTGCTCTGAAACGACTTTACAACTCAAAATACGTCACCACCGATTTCTTTAACGAGGTAAATGAATACATTAATTAAATTGTTATGATTATTATTTTCATTATTATTGTCGTTATTATTATAATTAATCCCAATATCATCAATATCAATTTATATCACCAACCAATAATAAGATGAGTATACATTTGAGAAGTGAAAATAATAGCGGAAATTATTTTATACGTTATTATGGTATAACGCAAGATCCCAACACCAAAGATTATATGATAGTTGAACAATTTGCTCGTAATGGCAATCTACAATCATACATTAAGAAAAATAGGAAAACTCTAACATGGCAAAAAAGGTTGGATATTTTGTTTAGCGTAGCAACAGGAATCAACAGGATCCATTCTAAAAAGATTTTGCACAGGAACATACATAGTGGCAATATACTTATACATTCTTTAACTACCACTTTGATGAGTGATTTGGGTTTGAGTTCTCGGGCTGACAAAGGAACATCTTCCACAAACATAAATGACATAGGCGGAAGTCACAAATCGACAACGTTGGAATTACTTGATGAGTCGAACGGCACCTATGGAGTTTTGCCTTACGTTGCGCCAGAGTTAATACGTAACAAACCGTACACAAAAGCATCTGACGTTTATAGTTTTGGGGTGATAATGTGGGAACTAGCTTTTAATAAAAAACCATTTAGTCACCGAGCACATGACATTGAATTGGCAAGAGATATTTGTGATGGAGAGCAATTGGACTGTGAGATGGAAGGAATGCCAGAATGTTATAAAGAATTGATGCAATCATGTTGGAACCTGGATCCATTCAGTAGACCAACGGCCGAGCAATTGTATGTAACATTGGCCACATGGTTGTGTAAAGTTAATAATAATGTAATCGATGATAGTGGCGTTGCAGTTCAATTCAACAAAGCCGAAGAAATATTTAATAACAATGTTGGCGGCTTAGAAGAGGAAGAAGAGGAAGTGATTGATCCTGGAGCAATATATATTAGTAGATTTTTGAAATTTTCTGAATTACAAGAACCAACAATTATTTTCACCAGAACAAACGATCCTATTGAACATTTATCTGTAAAAAATCATATTATTCTAGAAACCCAATTGTGCAATCTTAAATACGAAATTTTACAAACTGAAAATACTAAAGTCGCAGCTGAAGTTTATGAAATTTTAAAATATTTGTAAAAAAAAAATATATACATTCATTTAAAAAAATCTTTACATTCATTCATATCATTCATTCATATTGTTTTTTTTTTTTATTAATTTATTATAGAATATAATAATACTTTTGTAAATTTTTTAAATAAATATTTTTTTAATAGAAATTTTTTTTGTAGAAATTTTGAGTTGAATAATTTAATAAACGAATGTGTTCCTTTTTGCGTTTTATATAAAATATAATAAATTTTAGTGTCTATAGTTACTTCTATATATATATATATATATATATATATAATTCCTGAAAAACAAAAAAAAATTTATTTATATTTCAATATTATAATCTAATAATCTACTAGTATATATTGCATTTAAATGTATTGTATGATTAGTATTGATCTTTTGATGACTTTTTTGACACCTTTCTGCCAACTCAAATTCCATTTGAATTTTGCTATGACCACCACCACCACCACCACCACCATCATTATAATTATTAATGACATTATATTTCTTTTTGACAAGTTGATCTAACCAATCCTCTAGTATATTGATTATGACACTTAATTTAGGCCTCCTGTTAGGACTTTCATCTAGACATCTTTCCATTAATGAAACGTAGCATGGAGGTATGTTATTGTTATGTAGAGTAAATTCGGGTCTCAAATTGTTTTTACAAATATCAAATGCCAAATCTGAATCATGCGATCTGTTCGAAAACGGTTGTTGGCCGGTTGCCACACACCACATTATCATCCCAAAACTGTAAACATCTGATGAATTCGTATACTTTTTTCGTTGTCGTCCCAACAAAATCTCTGGCGCTACGTATGGCAAAACTCCATATATTTTTTTGTCGTTTATGTTATTATCATCGTCATCATCGTGATAATGATGATTAGGTGGAAAATATTGTCCTATATCACTAATACAAACTAGTCCGGAATATTTGTTGTCTAAAAATATGTTTCCAGGATGTAAATTGTTGTGTAGGATTTTTTGATTATGAAGTTTAAATATTCCAATTGCCAAATCATATAATAATTCGATTTTTTTTTGCCATGAGATTGTGTGAGTTCTTGAAATCACAAGTTCTTGAAAATTTTTTCCATAGTCCATTACTATTATATAATTGTTTGTTTTAGGATCTTGTGATAACCCATAACAAAATAATATATGGCCATTAGAATTACTTTTAAAATGATTGGAAATCTGTAATAAAAATATACTTGTCAAAATCAAAAACTAATAAATAAATAAATCAAATAATAATAATATCAAAAATGCATGATATGAAAATTACTTCTTTTAAATAATCATTGGAGATATTTTGTGAATCATTGAGGATTTTCAATACAACTTTTCTAGGTCCAGATCTAATTCTTTGTTGGTTTTCTTCATCCCATGACCATTTTGGTCCCTTGGTCCAATTTGTCATAATCACTTTACTATAACCACCATCGCCTAAATATTGTAAATTATCATTTTCAAAATCTCCAAAAGGTATCCATTCCAAATAATCAGTGTGAGTTCGAGCAAGTTTTTGCGAACTTTTAATCATTTCATCCAATTTTTCATTTCCACTTGTCCATGACTCGAATTGTTGTTCGAATATTTTTGTTTCACAGCTTTGACACCAACTATACCCGGTTCTCGGTTTCTGACATTTCTTACACTTTAGATATGTTCTTTTGCAAAATTCATTGCTCAATTCATCGTTTATTTGATCGGTGGAAATTAATTGTAATGTATTTTGTGTTGACATTTCTTCTTCTATTTCCTGTTTACCTAAGGCAACTCCCATATTTTTTAATTTTTTTAATTTATAAATAAAAATTTTTTAGAATGGGTTTATGCACATTTGTACATTGTATATATGGTGATAATTTTTGTAAATCCTTTTTTATTATGGACCCATTGATTTAATTATTATTATGAATCGGAGAAAAACAAGTAAATTTTTCAATACATGAAAAGAAAAAAAATAATTATATCACTAATCTTCCATGTGCACGCACACACACAAAAAAAATTTATGTAGTAGGTCAACTTTTTTTTCATGCAGAAATGCTTTATTCCAATTATTAATATGTCGATCATTTACTTGATTCATATTATCCATAGGGCGGATCATTCAATATTTAGCTTTTGTATTATCCGCTTTGTATATTAATATATTAATATTAATTATTATTATTGTAATTAACAATGCCATACGTATATAAAATTGCATCGCAATAGAATTTTTATTTGGATTTCTTTCACCGTGAGTTTTACTATTTTATTGAGGTTGATTTACTCTAAAATTAAAATATAATAAATAAATAAATGAATGAAATAAAATGTAAAAAAAATATATTTATATTATATATTATAAAAAAAAAATTTTTTTTAATTGTTAAAAAGTAGAATGTTTGAACATGGAAAAAAAAAAAAAAGGTCAGAGAACCTTGTCTCATCTAATTTTATCAGACGGCAATTCCTATCGTTTATTCATTTTATAGATTATTTTTCTTCATTCCTTTTTTTTTTTATTTAAGATGATGATGATGATAATGATGATGATGATTGATGAAGGAATAAAATAATATATAAAGAGAAACTAACCTTTGGTTTTAAATGATTCGTGTAATTGATTTATAAAATTTATTGGATGAATGTAGAGGTAGTTCAAGTTGTGAGTGTTAAAACTTAAAAATCTAAATAATAATAAAAATATAAATTTAAAAAATTTTTTTAATTAATAAATTGATAATTATTTATACGGGATATGTATACACGTATATATATATTTATATTTATATGGAGATCAGACATCCAAGGAAGGGTGAACTTCGCCATCATTAGGTTATTAAACCTTTCGGTGGAAACTGCGAATAGACGGAATATTTTCATCACTTCTCCCACATAAATACATATATATATACACTGTGAATGTGTGCAAGTGTGCAAGGTATACTTATAATAATATGAATACACTCACCACCATTTGGAATTAGTTGTAAAAATTATAAAAAAAAGTAGATTTCCTGATTAAAATAAAAAAAAATTTATCTGTCAATTAATAATTATCTTGTATAAAAAAATCATCGCTTCAAAAACTATTATTAATAAAATAATATTTGGTACTTCTTACCCATCATACATACATCATTATAAATTACTGTTGTTAAGAGAAAGAAAAAAATTTTTTAGAGAAAAAAAAATTTTTTTTTGAGATGACTTAATGATTGGAGAGTCCTCACAAATAAATTTTAGATTATTTCTAAATTTAAAAGTTACTTAACCATGTTTAGAAATGATCTCATCGTAATCAAATCCAAAAATATAAACATTATGACTGGTTGATTAGGTTAGGTGACCCAGTTGTAATAGTAAATCTATTATTATTATAGTTTTTGGAAATGCAATCAGCAGTGATGTTAACGGCTAAAATGGATAATAATAATCATTCTAAATATGGTAAAATAAAATTTATTAAAAAGAGATGATATATAATTAGATGAAAATTAATATTTTGAATTACGTTATTCGATGGGGAATTGGACAAAAACAAGGATTGAAAAAAAAATGTTTCAGATTGGAATAAACAATTAAAAATCTATTGGCTGATGATTTCTATGGAAAAAATCAAGCCACATTAAAAAAGTACTGACAAAGAACTTTATGAAAAATTCTTTGATATCATCTTACTATTAAATGTCAAACAAATATTATTGCTTCAAAGAGGACCAAGAACAAAGAATAACAACTGTAGTAGAACAAGAAGAATGTAAGAATGGCACTACCAAGCAGAAGCCACACGATGGAGATCAGAACTCACGGCAACCAAGACGATCGGGATGACCGGGATGACCAGCAGTTTCATACTACCGCTGTTTTTAGCCTCGTTTCCGCAGACGCTGTTCATACATCCATTCCGCCAAAATACAACCACAACCAGAGTTACCCATGGTATTAATGAATTTCAAATGCTAATATATGGAGACAAAAATGCTATTTATTTATTTATTTGTAAACTTATTATCATTTTTGAACAACTTTGGACCCTTGATTGAAAAGCGGGAGAAAAAAAAAATACCACATTAACCTTTAAAATCATTATTTTTTAAAATAAACGTTAAATGGTTTTTATTTGTTTTAATGAATATGCAAAAGTTAGGACTAACTTCGGGTAACTAGTGAATGTTAACAACGATTAGTAACATAATTTACTTTGGTGAGTAAGCAGAGGATAGTATAGACAAAAGGCTGCTAAACAAGCTGCTTAGGTTGTTGTGTAAATAAACGAAAGCGAGTTTGCAATCGACCAAATAAAATAAATAAGCCTTTGAGCTTTGTAAAGAGCCATCTTTATTTATTTATAGCTATCATGTACTGTTGAGTGTGTTTACAGATTTACCAAAGCTTTCTAGGTATAAAGAAGAAGAAGCGACCGAGAACCAAAGTAAATTCGTAAATTAATTAATTGACAAGCACCGAATTATTTATTGTCAATTAACTGACAAGAGTGACCCAAAACTTGAGCCATAATCTGCCATACTTGTTAAATAATCGGCATTAACAAATGAGCTATATACATTTGCACTAGATTTGTTACAATTGAAAATAAAAAAAATTATTCAATTGTCTGAAAGTTTGAAAGCATTGGTAAATTAATAATACTGTACAGTTTTTACAAAAATACGGATGCTCTTTTTTACATCCCTAAAATAATAATTCAAACGTGAAATATTGTTGGACCAATTTTAAGTGAATCTATTTTATTGATCAAATTATTTTTTTTCTGCTAAATGTAATTCTGAAGCAATGTTAATGAATAAAAACCTGATAACCGTAAAAAAATCACAATTATACATAAATTACCTAAATCTTCTCGATATCTAAATTGAATATACATAAAATTTGTCCTTGGGATATTCTTCTTGATATTTTCCTAAATATCACTTTTAGTTCATTTTAATGGTTTCCCGTTCTGAATCAGTTTTGTATGAACTATCTTTATTAATTACATATTGATTGAACTCGTCATAGTAATGTTATTTTACTAGTATTTTTTACAACTCTAAAAAAAATTATCTCGGTATTAAATTGATAAAAAAATGCCGATAGGTCCCCCATATATATAATATAAATGAACCAATAGTTGTAATTCTCATAAACACGTGCGTTCATTTTAGCAAAAAAAAAAAAATAATATTCAAACCTTTCAAACCTTTCAAAATGTCAAATAGTTTTTCGTCCTTAGAACCTTTCAAACATTTCAAACCTTTCAAACCTTCCAAAGTGTCAAATAGTTTTTCGTCCTTAGAAAATATCAACACAATTATTAACAACCTTATCAATTCTAACAAGGATGCCTTACCATTAAAATATATTGGCCAACTTGTAAATGATTTATCA